GGTTGTTTGATGACTTTTAAGTGGAAAGTTTGTGACTTTTTTGACGTTGTTGGGGGAGGTTCTGTTGCTACTGTCGTTTGGTCTTCAGCAGAATTCTTCTTTCATTCCCTTTTTGATAGAGAGTTTTTCATTTTGAATCGAGGCTGCTGCTTCAAACTCTTTAAATGGTGTACTGGTTGAAATTTCAGAACTTGTCAGATTCTTTTCAGATATAACTTCTACAATAACTATAACTGGCATCGTCTTTATACTGTTGACTCTTCATTGTGTTCAACTTGGACTGTGAAATAATTAATATTTGAAGCATCCAGTATTTTTAGCACTTGAAATTATATTGTCTCGTTAATATTCCAGCTAGACACAGCTACACAATTTTTATGTGAGGAATCTGTATTGCCTCTGTATTTTTCACGTTGCAAAACGCTGTGGCTTTGAACTATGTCGCCAATTTAATGCAATCAGCTAAATGTGGTATTGCGGCAGCAAACTTCGTTAGTATATTACATCCAGTTGCTACAAAATGATTTGCGGTAAACCCCTTTATTGGGAATCAATTAATATCTAATACAATTGAACATAGAGTATTTGTAGTAGCGGTGTATCTGAAAGGTTTCAAATTAATAAAGTTTGTTTGATGTGGGCGATATGAATTAACCCTCAGTTCTGCCCTGAAATTTAAAAATAAATTTAATGGACGTTTCACTGCAATTGAAAGAAATGTTATAGCATAAACCAGTGTGCATCAGCCCAGCGTATTGATGAAAGTTGACCTTGCTAAGTTACCAGGACAACTTTCATGAATCTTAATAGATTTTTAAATAAATTGCTATTTTTTTAATTTCAATATTTTGTATCTCAAAAACGAAACTTTTCTGGCTATATGTGTATAAGAACTTTTGTTATTGAAATCTAACGTAGAAATCACAATTCAAGTTTGATTAAATATATCATTAACACTCTGTGTAACAATAATAACCAATGAATCTATTCATGCTGTTTTACCCCCTCGAGCCTAGATTCTTTCCTTCAAATTCAAGAGTGGAACTCCAACCAATGTAATATAACTCTCGACAGCCTTCGTGTAAATTTTCCTATCGATTATATGTTATTTAAATTGTTTGTTCACGGCGATGTACGGCACATAGTTCGCTTGAAGCAATTCTGCTGTTTGTGAACATTATTATACATATAATGTTTCTCTCATATGCGTTATTATAAAACTGTTTCACCTGTCGAAGAGTAAGACTACGATTTCTGATCATTTAAAGAGAAGATAAGACAAACACAATTGTCAATCCCTAGAATAAAGTACCTCCGACTAGATCGTCTGGAAATCAATCGGCTAAAGACTCCATTCACTTTAATGGCCTGTTTATATCACAGTTGCCTCCGTTGAATATCTACAAATGTTTCCCTCTGACGATACACCGAAACAGTTGTTTGGGTTATGCCCCTTGCCTGTAAGATACACATTTGAGAGGTCCCCTTGGAATTTTAGAGACGACGCCGTACGGAGATATACATATTGTGAATTATGTTTATTTGTTACGCTTCCCTACTTCCCTCCAGGTGATGTGTAATGTTACGTTTTGGAATTTAATTATATAAGTTAATATGTTTAGTCCGCCTGAAGATCCGGGAATGGATGTCAAAAGACCGAGTGAATTTACGCAGGAACTGTTTAGTCCATCCTTACGAAGGGTTAGATTCAATTGCTGCAGAGTTACTCCGTGGTTTTGTAAACATACGAAAGTGAGTTTATCGGTTTTCACTATTTTAAATTTTGTTTGCGGAATGAATATTCTGCCGCGGAAACGTTGAGCATGTTATACAAGGTCTTTAGTGCTGAGGTTATGTCGCAAAAAAATGTTTACGAGTGGTACAAAGACTTTAAAGCGGGCAGAGAAAGCGTTAAGGACGAACAGTGTCCCGGACGACCATCAACGTTAACTGATGAACGACAAGTTAATCAAATCAAAGATCTTGTGTTCGAAAATCGTCGATTAACAGTAAGAGACCGTGTTTAATACTGTTGGCATTTCAAAAGTTTCGGTATATACCATTTTAAGAGATTTGTAGTACCTTAGAGGCGTCAAATCTCACTTGGTTCCAAAAACGCTAAACTTTGTGGAAAGACAGCGTCGCCGTCGCGTTGATATCTGAAACAATGATTTATGACTACCAAAACATAAAAGAAAAACAGTGTTTTCTGTATGTAGATATACGTATATCGCTACTGCAGAAACAATATTTAATGTTATAGAACAATTTTACATTTAAAATATAAATATACGCAAACAGTTAAAATAAATTTTAAAATTTGCATTTGATTTATTCAAATATATCAATATTAAATTATTATTTATTTAAATATGTGCTGAATTTCAAAATTGAACGAAAACCGATACTGACGCGCCATAGTATTTTAATAATTAAACTCTGATTAGTGCATAAAGCGATGAATCACAGACCTTCACAGGATCCGCCACAATGCCATAGCAACGAACTTTACACCTATGCGTACAAATTACCACATGGATTCCTATTTCCTGCATATCCGCAGCGGCATCGTGATTCACGACATCAATAGCCCGGCGGACTATTTTTTTACTGAAGTTATTTGTCTGCTTCAAAGGAACGGGCAGGTAAAGCATCGGGATTTGTTGAAAAGGCACAAAAAACGTGGAATTTATATTTAAGCTGACGTTTCTCTTTGACGCCTGTAGATTCTATATCAAAGCTGCGAAGAGATGCGAGCAGCTTGTTGGTATTTTAATACCGTCGTTGTAATTGCAGACGTCGAGCAAAAATTGAAAAATAATGTTGTTTATCGGATTAAGTCTGGATTGTCATTTTTTCTTATTTTTTTCAGTCCTTCGCCTTGTCTTTTTCTTTTCTGTCTCTTCCTGTAATATTACCTTTGTTTTTTAATAGACCAAAATATTCCTAATAGTACAAAATCGCTGAAGCTTGACAGTTTGGTGCTTAAATAAGGCGGAGAAGTGGAGGGTTCGAAATGATATTGTCTGGACTATGGTTTATTTCGCTAGTGTTTCATATTACATCTAAGGAAATTTAAAAATGTCTCATTACCCTACCTATTAAATATTATATTGCGATAAGTTGGTACTATTGTGTTTGTGAAAGATTTTGTTGAGCAGGAGCCTGTCGGTGTAAAAGACATTGAAAAGTTAAACGTAAAGAAAATGATTTTCATAATTAAATTAATTTAAAATTTCTTAAGGACTGCTGACGTCACATGCAATTTCAGGATCTAATAATCTAGATACAAGAGTAGAGTAAATAGAACAATCCATTTTTGGAGGATGCGGATAAACCATGAAAATGGAAACCAGTTAATAATAATTATTCTGTGCCCTTATCTCCCAGATCGCTGTCCGTAATTTTTTCCTGCTTCCATTTGTTTAACTTGTCGATCTTACATGGTCGAATTAAACTTTTATCGTAACGTCTTTGTTTGTTTGGCACTTCCTTAAACTCGATTATCTTAATCACAAGAACAGCAACTGACTTTTAACTTAAGTACCGGTCCAGAAGGAAAGCACAGTTCTTATGTTTCTGCATTATTTATCAAAATTATCCTGGATTAGGCAACTTTGTTCGATGTACATTGGAATTTCTGTTACTACCCGTAAATGAAGCTTGGCATGGTTTGTTAAACAAGAAAGTTTGGAGTGTATTTTTCAAAACTGCCCCTACGAAGTTTTAGAAATAGGTATTCAAATTTTATGAGCAGTACTCAAGCATCATGAGACGGATTACTGATACTACTACTGTCATTCCTTTTAATAATATTTACTTTCTCGTTGACACTCCCACAAAAAAATGCGTCAAATTCTCAGTGAAAATTTTTGTGCTTTCTATAGTATGATTTTCCAAAAGTAAAATGTCTACACCGTTAAGTATATACGAAAACATGTTGTACCACACATAATTACATTATATTTTATTAATTGATTCTACCACCGTATCCACTAGAACAATTTTATTTTAAAAATAAGGTACAGTTTGTCAGACATTTTGCACAATTCACTTTTCCAATTTGGAGTCCCACATAGGCAGCATTGAAGGTTGCAAATTTTGCAAATTCACCTCTTCTTGCATTTGTTCATAGGTCAGACATTTTTTGGCGACGGTTTTGTGAACAGGAACCCGATCCTGACATACTTTGTACCTTATGGAATTGGCAGTTGTATCTGCCAATGGCGGGACCTCTGTTTTTTCATTGGTGTTAGAGGATATACTGGCCGCTTCTGCATGGACTTTGCCCTTTTTGGAAAGACACCTTACGAGGTAACAAGACAAGGATTGACCTTTCAGCATTTCTAAAATTTTCTCTCAAACGCAGCCTAAAACAGATAATTTTTTGACGTTAGAAATTAATTTACGACTGACAGTTTGGGAATAAAAGACAACTAGATGTTAGAAAAAATTATATTGCACTGAATTGGATATCACATCAAAAAGATAATAGTACAGAAAAAAGTTGATTTGCCTGCGATTCATTTTATTGCAAGGATATATAAGTACCATTAACAATTTGGGATTAGGAAAAAATAATGTAATAACTCATGTATCGATTGAGAATATGCAGGGATTGTAAATTAAGTATAAAAAGTTGTATTAGCATATATGTATATGTGTCTTCTAAATGGAAAATATTTTTTTTTATATTTTATCGCCTTTTGCACACGTTTTCGTAAAATCCTGTACTTTGGAAAAAAAATTCGTCCTGTTTACCGAGTTCTTATTAAACACGTTAGGAGAGAGACGACATAAAAGTTGTAACTCCAAAGGGCCCTTTTTAAGGAAGCCATTACCTTGCTCATAAAAATGCGATTAATCCGAATGTAAATCTAAGCAAGCCTCGCCCCGGCCATAACTCTTTAAATCCCGCAATAAACAAAGAAGCGGGGCAATTCCCCAACAGTTATAAATGGCGTTGAAAATCCAATTAAAGTTGTGTTTCCTTGTTCCAGGCCCCTGCTGAAGCAGATCAAGAACTCCGCAGAGTCCCACATCGTCCTGGACTGTTCCACCCAGAGGATTTACGATGTTTTGAAGCAGGCGCAACAGATCGGCATGATGAGCGACTATCATAGCTACCTCATCACGTCCTTAGTAAGTTTCTGTTATTTGTGATTTGGACGGGGGAATTTACGGCTCACGAAATTTGCTCCCTGAAAAGAACGGATTATCTGAAGCCTGAAACTTATTTCGGAAGTAAATACCTTCGTCCCGATCTAATAAAATTCTTTAGATAAGATAACACTTCACGGAAATAAATCGAAGGAAGATCTGTGATATAAGATTGTATGTAGTAGAAACGGATACTTTTGTAAAACTTTTATACTCCAACGAAGCAATCACTTTAATTTTATTCTACTAGTGACTAAAGGAATTTAGTCACTAGTGATTGAAATTTGATTTTAGTCATTAAAAACCCCTACACAACTGCAACTGTTGGACAAATAACTTTACAACTATGTATTTGCATTTAGTAACAATTTTGCTTCACTCTAACCTTCTACTTATAATTGCATTCACATTTTTCTTTCCGGTAGTCAGCTGCACACCAGTAAACGTTTATTACAGACATAAATACATTCGTCTAGATCTAATACAATTTTCTTGATAAGAAAACACTTCCTTCTCCCGAAACCATTCGCAGGAAAGAGTTCCATGGAACTTATGATAATCTGATATCGGTTTTTTCGGGGGTTGATACTAAAAGTTCTTTAATTTCGTTATCTAAATACAAAGACAATTAGAGACACAGTTACAGAGAGAAATATAGCGGCCCTAAAACCATTGTCGAACGTATTTCCATTGGAAAGGCCTCTTAGCTGGCAATAGCATCAGTTTAAAGTCGTCCTTAATCGTTTGTTGCCTAATCCTAATTGGAGTTCTTGTTTAATTTCCAGGATTTGCACGGCGTCGACTTGGAGGAATTCAAATATGGCGGCACCAACATAACGGCGTTCAGGCTGGTTGATCCTGATGGGCCTGAAGTTAGGAAAGTGGTGAGGGACTGGAATATTGGATTGGACTCGAAGAATAAAAAGGACCTTTCGCCTATATATCGGGTATAAAACTTTCGTTTTGTTTTCCTGTTTAAATACAGTTTCCTCTCTTGCGCTTTAAATTCGAAGTTTTATGGCAGGGCAGTGTCATAATAGGGTTAGGGTTGTTTTAAATAGAGACTGGATTTGAAATAGCAAACTAGATATTTTCATAACTTGCAAACAAAAATGTGTTCCTACATAAATTTATTCTGTAAATTCAAATACGTATGGGAAAATTTAAAATAAATATAAAACTTTCAACTATTTCATTGGCTACATTAGACAAAATAACAATATTAATGTAATTCAGCAAGAACAAATTGCAATTAAGTGCTGCTAAAACTATTATATTATCCTTTTTAATAATTTATTGTTTATAGTTTTTCAGACGTCATTGTAGAATTAAAAGCATTTTGAACATTTCAATTTTTAAATAAAATATTAATTTTTAATGCAAAATATTACAGCAGGGTTTTGGTTCAACAACTATACTGCACCATAAACATTTAACAATGGTTTCAGTATTTTCATTGAAAATACAGGAAACACAAACTCTACGGGTAATTAAAACGTATATAAATGTTATTTACACTTCAAAATAATTTTTTTATATCCATTATGAATCGTGTTTTATTATGTCCTATATCACCTGCAGTGGCAAATATAATTAGAAAATAACTCACAAAACGTATTTTGTCACTTAATAAAACAACAGGTTTTTTCATTTTCCCCGCATTGTTTTTTTTTTAATTTCACAGGAACAGTTACACAATGCCCAATTGAACAAAATAATACGTTTAATGCCACAACAGTTACAGATAATTCATTATTTATACTCCAACCCTTCTCTCGCTTTGCGGAACAACTTCGAAATATTGAAAAACTTTAAATATCGTTTCCTTTTATCTTTAATTCCTACGTAATTCCTTTCGACTCTATAAGTCCTCGGCATGAGCATCTTACAAGTTTTAACATCTGCTTGTCTGCCGAGTAGAAAACTATAATTAACTTAATATTTCCGTCTTGTTTGTGCTTACCGGATTGGGGCAGGATAATAATACTTTCGTGAAGGTAAGTTTAATGCTATTATTCCATTCTGGGGTATTGTTGTCTTTGGATAGCCAGTTCAAATTCCGGATATTACAACTTTGAATATGAATGCACCGGGAAATTGGCATGTGAATTATTTATAGTGCGATATTAACATTGTTACGTAGCCTACACATTGTTCCTCAGTTTCTGGTTCTTAATTAGTGAATATGAAAAATTAATTGCTAGTATTTTCGGGAGGAAGTAGTGTACTAATATTAAAGTTAACTATTTGATAAGAGAAAATGATTTAGCGTGTAACAGTAAATCCCACTTCTGATATGGAGCATAAATCTCATGCCCTCCCTCCCTGCTCTGGTTGCGACACACACCATAAAGTTTTTATTCGCGTCTATAATTTCTAACATGTGAATTTAACTGCGATATACGCCGCACAGAGCACCACCGACCTTATTTATGTGTAAAAGCCAACCCTGATGCCATGTGAAAGGGATTTTTATATAATTTGAAATAAACACAGGCAGTATTTTATTCTAGCCGCTGCGTTGATAAGTGCTTCAGTTTAAAACGCGGTAGTTTGGAACATTTGTTGTCGAGTACGTGGACAGCCGGACGTGATTTAAAATTAAAAATGTTTGAATGGATGTGCTTTTATTTTTCCATTGGAAGGCGTAAACATGATGCGTTTCAGGTCAGTTTAATTAATGAAAATGCTTTTGTATATGCCGACATTTTCTGAAAAATGTTGCTCTCTTATAACTTTGTACAGGGTGATTTACCATAAGTGTCACCTTTTATTTTCTCCGTTATTTTTCGCTGTAAGAAATGTAAGGCTGAGAATAGTAAGAAACTTTTGGAGTTAGGCGAAGAACTCTACAAGAAGCAATATTGTTAGTCTTCTTTAAACGGCTTCTATAAGTCGGATTAATTTTTTATAATTTCGTTAAAATTACTAATACTTTTCAATGTCAATTTTTTCTTACGAAAACAAACTTTTTTCTTTCTAGGTACATGATTGTAACAAAAGCACGATTGAATAAAAAATAACTCAAAACCAATGAAAGTGTCATTCTTCTAAAAAAGTGTTAGTACAGCTTAGGGTTTTGAATACTAATGAGCTTTTTATCACTCTGGATATTTGGAAAATAGGTACCCTTTAGTAATTATTGCATTTCTAAAAGTCTACTTACGAAGTGTGGATATAATTAGAGGTAAAATTCCACGTATTTTCTCAGGAAATTTTATTTCTCTTAATAGGATTTGATGTTGGTTATTGGAAAAATGGCCTTTTTAAAAGTTACTGGTTTCGAAAGGTGGCCGAAAATAGAAGTGGTCCGGTAGAATCTTGTATGTCCTTACAATTCGAAACTTGACCATTGCCATAATCATCTCTTGACGATTTAAACTATTGATTATATCCAATAAAACAGGGTTAAAAGGAACTACGGCATTCAAGCAATTTTATTGCATGAATCGTTCAAAGGGTCATTTTAGATGAAAAAATCGCGGAGTGCTATTAAATTAGAGGGCGGAAATTGGAGATAGGGGTGAAAATGCACCCCTTTCAGTTTTTTAATTGTAGCTCGAAAACGAAGCAAAATATCGTTATAGTTCGTAGGAAAATTTATTTAGAGAATTGAATTTCCCATCGGAATGGTTTATTTAAAAAAGTTAAAAAGATAATTTTATGCAAAAATTCGTTAATAAACAATTTGAAAAAAGTAAAATTTCGATTATTTCATTTTTTTTTTTACTTTTTTTACTCTAGTTTTTTTGAGTAAAGATGGGAGGTAGGCCTTCATAAAAAAAAAGTAGATAACAATTCATTCAAAATAAGAGGTTGTAAAGTATTTTAGAATGAATATTGACTGATATATGGCCGCTCAAACTTAGCCAATTTTTCGATTTTCGTCGCGTTTACTCTAATACGTTTTAATTCTCATTTTTTGCAAAAAGGAAGGAAATAAGACGTTCAAGGATTTTTATCACATGACTTGTTCGAAGGGTCATTAAAAATGTAAGAACCGCGGGGTGCTATTAAATTAGAGGGTTGAAATTGAAGATAGGGGTGAAAATGCATTTTTGCAGTTTTTTAAATATAACACAAAACGAAGCAAAATTTCAGTATACTTAGTTCATAAGAAAAATTTTGCAGAGAATTGAATTTCCCATCAAAATGGCTTATTTAAAAAATTTAAAAGAAAAATTTTATGCAAAAGCTATTTTAAAAAAAAACAAAAAATTGGATTTTGTTTTTATTTTTTTACTCTAATATTTTTAGGAGAAGTAGGCAAAGAAAATTGCTTTACAGAAAAACTAGATGAGATTCCCTTGAAAATGATACGTTTTCAAAAGTTTTTGGACTAATATTGACTGACTTACAACCGGTCAAACTTAAATATTTTTTACATGTCGTTAGTACAATAATCTCCTAACTAGTTTACATCCCTCAATACTCCATGAAAAAGTAATTTTAGTTAGTTAATTTACAAAAAAAACGTGGCGCTGTCGTATTCTCGATTTGCTGTCATCATTAATAACGTTGCCTAGTTCTAACTTCGTCTTTTGTTGCTCTATCCCACGGAGTGAAATACATCAGCAGATCGTTAACCCAAATGCAAATACAAATTTATTAATATAGGAATATTTCCAGGAAACTAGATCCCATTACCATATTGCAAGCGGCGGCCAAAATAGAACACAAAAATGTTCAATGCAAATTGATTCCGAGGTAATCTGAGCGCCTCCTGCGACCAACCCGCTTTTATGCGTACAGGGCTCAATCAATTATAAATGAGACACTGGGGAACTGTTATTATTCAATTAAAATCGCTAGGTCGTTTATTCAGGCATTAGTGCATTGACGATTTTTAGTCCAATTTAGCTTATGAATAATGTAGGAATTGAATAGAGCGTTCATAATTTTCCTTTTCTGCGAAATTTAAGTATTTTCGCACAGAGAAATAAAAGGATCTGCAGTATAGAGATTTTTACCATCCCATTTTTTTTTAAATTTTTTATACGTTTATACAAAACTTGATTTGAGAAAATCATTTGGCTACTTATTTCACAAAAACAGTGGAGAGTACCCATCACTCGAGACCCATAGAGAAAAGACATTTTATTAGTTGTTGTACTAATTAATGAGACACTTTTTGAAGACCCCTGTATAACTGGCTTAAAAATACAATTCTAACTAATTTTAAATGTGCTTTAACCATCCAAAATTGTTACAATATTATTATATTATAATTGTTTTGTTTATTCTTGATGAAACCTCGTACAAACCCAAGCACCTTATCGTTACAGGCGGAGACCGCCCTTATGTACGACGCCGTGCACTTGTTTGCCAAGGCCCTGCACGATCTGGACACTAGCCAACAAATCGACATAAAGCCACTCAGCTGTGATGCAGTGGACTTTTGGCCTCATGGGTATAGTCTCATCAACTATATGAAGGTGGTAAGTTCCCGCTTACGTACACTAAAATTTTGTTAGTCAAAGCGGGGTAGTAGCCTAAGGCCACGAAATGTCAACTTAAAGTAAGGTACTTGGCTATAACTCATGTATAACCTATATTCTCTACTCGTATATGCCAAAGTAAGGATTTTCTCACAACTTAGTCATATGAAACTCATATTTTTCATCTCTAAAAACAGAAATGCCATTTTCTCCTTTTCAATAAATTAATGGAGGATTTGTGTCACAGAAAATGAAGTAACGAGCTAAATTTTCAGTAAGCAGTTTTCATGTAAAATGTCACTAAGAAAATACATTCAGAACTAAGCGTTACGCTTTCAGCATAATTTGGGGAAAAGCCGCCTGCCTTGATATAATCTCCCGTTGAAGTGTATACAATGAAAACAAAACAGCAAAGCCAATAATTGTAGAAGTATTACCACGTTACACCAGATGATGCTACTGTCAAGAATAAAGTGATTCGCGTTGGAAATACAGTCATGAGTGAAATTAAATTGGGTCACAATATAAACATTTATATTGTTTCGCAAGCAGTACGAAGTTTAGGTATCTATCTGTTTTCGAATTAGTAATTAAAATTTTAATTGATTCTACCATTTTCATTTCAAACGTAGAATTAAAGGGATAATGGAATCTGGGGAAAAAGTTCGTTAGTAGCTAATTCTGGGACAAAAAATTAGCAGAGGTGTTTTTGTAATGAAGGTTTGTAAATCTTCTTTTGATAGTTTTTTCATCTGTTGCAAAAACTGGGTTTTGTTTAAGGCTTTCTCTTATTTAGTTCGTCTTCTGAGATAATTTGAATTAAACAATAATTTAATCTATAAATATTCTTAACAATTCTATTTAAAATTGTACAAAAATTAATTTATTATTAAAAATACCTACAGACTTAATGGAAACTTTCTGTATATCCAAATTGTTTATTAATATTTTTATTTTACTTTGTATAATTTGTATTTTTGGTTATTTTTGCATACAGGTCACTTTTACTAGTTTTCTTTATACAACTGCAATTCTATGAACGTACTATACAGGGTGGGTTACCAGTAACGCCTCGGTCGCTAGTGACCAAACGGCAAATGTTATAGAAACCTGTTCAGGTGGGTATGTGTAGGTTGATTACGGCTACATTTTAAAAATATTTTGAAATATACAGGGTGTCCAGGAAAAGCGTACCATATCAAAGTTATGTTTTTTTAAATGGAACACCCTGTATTTTACTGCATTTTTGAAAGCACCGTAAAAAAATAGGTGAACTTTATTAAAGGTTCTGCATACCTAGGACTTACAGTTTGTGAGATATTTCAATTTTAGTGAAAATGCAGGCATAGCGTAGAAATTTAATATTAGCAATAAAAAAATAATTTTAAGGAAGCAGCTTTGGAGGGTCTATTTTAGATCCTTGAAGTTATAAATTGTTATATTTGTCGTCACTTAGTATTATACAGGGTGTTCAAAAAACTGCTGAATACTTCTCTCAACTTTAAACAGCAATAACTTGGTTATTTTAAATGGAACACCCAGTATATTTTTACTTTGGGAGTTGGGAAATTTAAAACTCTTTCAAACTGTGTATAGGTTCCCTATACCTATCTCTAACGGTATTGGAGATATTTGTGCCGTTTCGTTTTTTATCGATTTTTTTTGTAAGATGTATCCACGTGTCTTTATCGAGGTCTTTACTGAATTGGTTTGGGTTCTTCTTGATGACGTCTCTTTAAATATATTGAGAAAAATGAGGATGCAATTAGATGGCGCACCTGCAAATTTTTCATATTCAGTGAGAAATTATTTAAATCGAAAATTTAGTAATAAATGGATAAGTAGGAATGGTGCATGTCAGTGGCCACGTAGGTGTCCAGACCTCACCGTAATGGACTTCTTTGTTGCGAGCTATATAAAAAATCTTGTATACAATGTTCCACCTATTACTTGCGATGATATTGGAGGGAAGGATTAGAGATGCATTTGCGTGAGAATATCATTTGAAGATAGAATAAGATGCTGTATTCAGGAGAATGGTTATCAATTCGAACATCAATTAAAATTTTTCTTTGTTTTTTCTAAAAGTAAAAGTTCCTTTTATCATTATCATGAAAATATTCAAAAAAGTTTTCTAATAAAAAATATTATTTTATAAGCAGAATGATTATAAAAAGTTATTAATTTTGTATAAATATGTTTGTAGTAAGTAACTGAATTATTTATGAACAAGAAAAATATTTATTAAAGAAAATTTTACTTTTAGAAGAAACAAAGAAAAATTTTAATAGATGTTCGAATTGATAACCTTTCTCTTGAATACAGCATCTTATTCTATCTTCAAATGATATTCTCACATTCCTTAGAATAGTTATTTGGGGTGATATATCTAATCCTTTTCTTCATATCATCGCAAGTAGTAGGTGGAACACTGTGTACAAGATATATATTTATACAGCCCGAAACAAAGAAGTCTATTACGAGAGGTTTGGACACCTGTGGTAGCCACTGACATGGACCATTCTTACCTACTCATTTATTACTTATTTATCGATTTATATAATTCCTCACTGAATATGAAAAATGTGCAGGTGCGCCATCTAATTGCATTCACATTTTTCTCCTTATATTTAAAGAGACGTCATCAAGAAGAACTCAAACCAATTCAGTAAAGACCTCGATAAAGACACGTGGATACATCTTACAAAAAAAAAATCGATAAAAAACGAAACGGCACAAATATCTCCAATACCGTTAGAGATAGGTATAGGGAACCTATACACAGTTTGAAAGAGTTTTAAATTTCCCAACTCCCAAAGTAAAAATATACTGGGTGTTCCATTTAAAATAACCAAGTTATTGCTGTTTAAAGTTGAGAGAAGTATTCAGCAGTTTTTTGAACACCCTGTATAATACTAAGTGACGACAAATATAACAATTTATAACTTCAAGGATCTAAAATAGACCCTCCAAAGCTGCTTCCTTAAAATTATTTTTTTATTGCTAATATTAAATTTCTACGCTATGCCTGCATTTTCACTAAAATTGAAATATCTCACAAACTGTAAGTCCTAGGTATGCAGAACCTTTAATAAAGTTCACCTATTTTTTTACGGTGCTTTCAAAAATGCAGTAAAATACAGGGTGTTCCATTTAAAAAAACATAACTTTGATATGGTACGCTTTTCCTGGACACCCTGTATATTTCAAAATATTTTTAAAATGTAGCCGTAATCAACCTACACATACCCACCTAAACAGGTTTCTGTAACATTTGCCGTTTGGTCACTAGCGACCGAGGCGTTACTGGTGGCCCACCCTGTATAATTAGAAAGTTTAATTATTTTTCATTATTTTTTAACGGTTTTCATGGTTTCTTTTGTTCCCTTGGTAAATTTTCTGTCACCAGATTTGGCCACCATCATTTTCTAATCCTTCCTTGATAGGTTTTCTTTTCTGTGGACTGACCCAAATGGGTCACCAGAGAAAAACAAACGTTTCAACAATGCAATCCTGATTGTAGACTGTATACGTTCTTTTATTTAATAAATTTCATCGCAAAAATAGACTTTCCGACTTATACGAGTATTATGAGTATTTTTTCGGTTTCCTCATTATCCGCAAAATGGTCGTCCAGAGAAATTTCTATGTTGGTAGGAAAACATTACCTATAAAATTGTGTCGAATCTCAACCTCATAACATTGTAAACGACCCCTCTACTGGTGATTTTTGTGGCGATTGCAGATTTAGCGAATTTATTTAGAGGGGTGCGACTTAATGGAACGAAAACAAGGTGGAACTCCGTCCCATGAAAATCTGCGCGGTAACTGAAATCTAAAATAAAAGTCTATTCTGAAACTTCGACGAATGGATCCGTCTTGCACTGTGAAATAATTGTAAACAAAGTTCTGAACTTCGACTTTACAAATGTTTGTTTTACTACAAACTTTGGCAGCCGAGATTTTAAATTAATGGAACTGGGACGAGATTTACGCATCTGAAGATGCAGAATGGATAGTGGATACGTTGCGTTCGGTTTTGAAGAAAATAAACGCTTATAGAGTAATTCATAATTAAATCGATGTTGATTTAAAATTGAATTTTGCAATTTTCTTGAAAACCGGTATATTCTAGATAAAATTTAATTTATTTCATTTATGCTGTCCATTCACAAAATGGGAGAATTATTATCATTTCACACCTATGAGTATAAAAATGATTTTAATGAGATTTACTAAAATTAAAATGATTATATTATCTGAATTTGAAAACTTGTTTCATATTAATTAATAATTACACAGACCCACAAAAAAAAAGTTGAAAATACCAGAGACTAGACCCACCTGTCCTTATGTATTTTGATTCGCTGAAACCGAATCCGCAGTCAAAATTGCTCCATCACCCTCCAGTTTTTTTTAAATCGCGAAAAACTACCCCAAAAAAACGGGCACGGGTCCGAAGGTTGAGATAAACGTGGGAACCAGTACAATAAGACTATTTATATGTATTTTGACGAGCTAAAACCGAATCCGGGGCCAAAATTGCTCTATCACCCTCCAGTTTTTTTTAAATAGCGAAAATCTTCATTTTATCTTCAAAAGATCTGTGTAGTGGATACCTTGTTTTTCTGCTATCTGGCTCGGATTCCCTTTTAAGCATCCAACAAAAATCTGACATCATATTAACATCCCATCGTCCTTGGAACCGGCGGCGGCTTTCCATTTCCTTAAATTTGAATTTTCTAAATTGGATTGTATCTGAGGATTCGGTTTTAGCTTGTCAAAATACATATAAAATAGTCTTATTGTGCTGGTTCTCACGTTTATTTCAACCTTCGGTCCCGTGCTCAAGCGAGAATTTGAAGATTTTCCATGTTTTTGGGGTAGTTTTTCGCGATTTAAACAAAAACACTAGTGTTAAAAGTTACTTACTTTTAACACGTGTGTCAAAAAATGGCATTTTTAACATCAAAAATGACAATTAAAAGGCCCACTTTTAACAGTTTTGTAGAAAAAATAAATTTACGTACTATTGTACCTTTATAATAATTTAAAAAGGTATTTCTTGAATTCATTGAATACCTATGAATTGACAGGAATGTAACACGAATGGAAATACTATCATAAAGATAATTTAGCGTCAATTGAGCAGGCAGTAAAGTGGAAGATCAGTGTCGATAAGAAGCTTGATAGTTATTCCAATAAACACAGCTATTGACTTAGTTCGCATAATAATATATAAGCCTTCGGTATTACTGCAATTGAATGTCTTAACGTTCTAGGTGGAAATGAGGGGCTTAACGGGAGTAATCAAATTTGATCATCAGGGATTCAGAAGCGATTTCGTGCTAGACATCATCGAATTGAGCAGAGAAGGGCTTAAGAAGATTGGCAGCTGGAATTCTACCGAGGGCGTCAACTTCACCAGAACGTATGGAGAGGTTTATACTCAAATTGTGGAGATAATCCAGAATAAGACTTTTGTTGTTACTACAATACTGGTAAGTGCCTGCGTGATTGAGGGTTCGAGATGAAAGGAAGGCTGTAATCACTTCAATTTTATAGCTAGGCTCTTTGCAGAGTATTGAATCGAGGATCAATACTTGAAATATATTTTAATTAAGGTTTAATAATAGGGGTTAGATATTCGAGTCTTATAATTGATATGTGTACAGTTATACAGGGTGATTCAGTCATAATGTCATTAATTTTAACCACGTATTCGGAAAGCTTAATAAAGACAGAAAATCGACTTTTAAGAATGAAGGAAATCAACCCATAACTCCCGCTACGAGGGCTGCCCTGCCGATGCCCGGATGCCCGGAAAATTTTGTAACGTAATGTCACGAACAGTTGTCGGCTAAAGGAACAGCGTTGCCAAGTTCAGGTTCAAGCTCGCCAGGTTAGTATTTGACATATAACCGACCACTTCGTACACTCGATGCACCTGGGCGACTACAGCTACTACGAAAACAGCCGGTATTTTAGATTTTAAATTAAATTTGTTGATACGATTTTCCTTTGATAAAAGACCGACAACTTTTTGCTACTACACTCGTATTAGTCTAGGGGCTAGGGGCCAGATAGGTTTCCGTAGCCAAACAGAATTCCACGGCTGCAAATAACTTATTTTTAAGTATTTTGACTTCTCGAAACCAAAAAACTTGGTGGCAAAGCCTGAAAGTGGTCAGTTTAATTGTTGTTAACAAATTGAATGTTTAAATGGCTGTAAAAAGTTTATTTTTATAGCTAGTACAATTTTTTATCTGTTAATTATTACGTTTTCTCACAACAAACATATATTTTTTTGAAAATTAAAAAAAGATTAACTTTAACCAAAGTTATTGCAAATTTAGTGCAAATATATTACATTTTCCGTCTCTGCGCGCACCAATTTTACCATATCTCTGGTTCAATTGGACGGATTGAGACGCACATCTCATTTTAAAACTTAAACTTTATTTTACAAGATAGGTAAGTTCCATTGATTAATTAATTTATTTAAAAATTAATGGCAGCTTAGAAAGTTGTGGAATTTCAACGAAAATGTTGGCTTTATTGGTTTATAAAACTTTTTTTGTTATTCAATTTTTATGAAAAGCCAAAAAAGTTACCGGTTATTGTTCCTCGCATCCTAACAATGATTTCATGCCTTGCTTGATTGTTAGAATGCAAAGAACAATATCCGGTAACTTTTTTGGCTTTTCGTCGAAGTTGAATAATAAAAAAAACCTTATAAACAATTAAAACCGGCATTTTCGTTGAAATTTCACAACTTTCTAAGATGCCATTAATTATTAAATAAATTAATAAATAAATGGAACTTAGAACCAGATATGGTAAAATTAGTGCGCACGGAGACGGAAAATGTAAGAAATTTGCACTAAATTTGCAATAACTTTGGTTAAAGTTAATTTTTTTTAATTTCCAAAAAAATACATATTTGTTATGAGAAAACGTAACTATTAGCGAATAAATTGTACTAGCTATAAAAATAAACTTTTTACAGCCATTTAAACATTTAATTTGTTGATAACAATTAAACTGACCACTTTCAGGCTTTGCGACCAAGTTTCTTTGGATTCAAGAGGTCAAATATTTAAGAATAAGTTGTTTGCACATCGGGCTCCTGGACTATATGGTGCACGTGTGCAAATTAAAACTGGGTTAAAAGGTTACTGAACCACAGGTTACCCTAGGTCGGAAACACGACGTACCGAGTTGTTTATTTGTCTCCGTCCCATTGTTTTTTTATGGAATATACAAGTCTCTCTTCTAATTGCAGTCAATATTTAAATACTGCATACAATTTATCCTCTCTTTATAATTTATCTAGTGAGTGTTGGTTTTTTATGACATTATTTCTGTAACGAAATTGAAATGGTTATGAAATGAAATTTAAATTATTTGAACTTTTGGGGTTTTGTAACTTCAATATTAAATCTTATTTAAAGTGAAACAGCTAATTTCTTTGCAGCCATAATAGTCACATTTGGTCAGATGAAACACACTACTACCCGCACACTACTCGTCGGTGGTATAGCTTTCAGAGGAGATTCGGTGTCAATGTCAATGGCGATCGTTTAATTGGGCCGCATTTTCTACCTGAACATCTGAATGGGCCGCGTTACTAATTTTTAGTAGAATTGTTTGAAAACCTTCCCCTTCGGGCTTACAGCAAATGTTGTTAAAATATTAAAATTATGATGCTAATAAAAACTGATTTTTGGCAAGGCATGCTCAGACCTCGAGGTTCTTGCTGGGCAACAATAACAATTTAATATGTTGATTGCATAAATAAAAAATAATTTATAGCATTTTAAATTATTATTGGCTGACGTGAGCAAAACCGTTTATTTATTGTCTTTATATGAGCGAAAATATATAAATATGGCAACGTTGCATCTAGGGCGCGTTGTTCATAGGTTCATATCGTAGCCGTGCATAATATTGTGACGTCAGCCGGTCAGTAACAGCCTGAAAAGGGGGTTAAATAATGATTTGAAAATATTTTTTTTCAGCTTAAATATGCATTTAAATTTTTTTTTAATCACGCCATCGTATTATACTCATTTTTCTCTATCTGCTCTTAAAATTAATGACATTATGACTGAATCACCCTGTATATGAAGTCGCAATAAACTTTGAGTTAGCGATCACGATAAAGAAAATAGAAACGTTCCTTAAGGGCTCCACAAACTTTCAGGGAGTGGAAAGTCTTTGCTCATGTACTAGTAAAGTTATCTACATGAAAAATTTTACGTAAATTATACTGTATCCAATCAATCAAATACCTCCTTCGAGAAGAAATCGTTTGAAAAAAGATGTTTCCCTTGCCTCTTTGTTTATTTTGACGAGAAGTCACTTTACAAAATTTGTCTCCTCATTACTTACTCTGTTAAGAGCAGTTTTTTAATGAAAGATATATTACAGTTATGCTTGTGTTTCGGATAACGCCTATTCCCAATGAAAAATACAAATGAAACTTTCATTCGTCTGTGACTTGTTGTAATCCGGTCTATAAATGAAACAAATCCGTACTGACGGTCTGCAAATAAATAAAAAAGAGTACACAAAGCATCGTGATTGACGGTTGCTACAAAATGTAAACAAAGCCAACACCAGGTTTATCAATTGAGCCAATTATTCACCTTGGGCGCGCTTTCACGTCGAATAGTGTTGGGAAAAATCAAATTGTACTGTTATGCTTTTGCTTATTTTTATTGTACGAGTACATCGAGCTTGGCTCTAACACTAATCTGGAATGCTACTAGTACTAGAATGCTACATGCTTTTACTGCTAGAAACTCTATTTAGGTCATTTATAATTGTGTTTTCTTGGATTTATTTCGAGCTTTAGGAACTGGTGATTGGAAGCTTTAGAAACAAGATGCGAAGAAACATTGTGTTGATTGTGTTCTCCCACATTATACTTTTTTTGGGGTTTAGGGCAATTAAAAAAATTTACCGATCTTTCGGTTAGTATTAATGTTTATCAAAGTTGTTTTGTAGTAGAATATCCTAAATATATAATCAAATCGACGGAAAATTTTATAAAAAAAAGTTTTAATAACACATTTTTATAAACCCATACTTTTTTAACGATTTCTTCCGGAAAAAGAAACATCCGGACATCATTTCGGTCTCTCTGACACCATAATTTCGGCTCTCGCGTTCATCGGAAAGCGCGCACGTGTCTTCTCACTTCCCAGTAATAAACAGGGGAACAAAGCGTAATAAACTGCCTAGAGTTATGTATATGAAATATCGCCCCAATTTGTATTCCTCTCTCTTGCTGCAACTCGAAAAATTTAATTTCCACAGCTCTACGTGATGCGTACGAAGACAAGTGAGAAATTGACCGTCGACGCACATTCCGGTTCTCGGAAGTGTAAAAATTTTTTATTAATTGCCAATAGGCCTCTTGCACATGCCGGATTTTTTATATTAGTTCACATATTTAAATATGGCCTTATTTAAAATTGTTAATTATAAAATCTTTTGTGAAAAATTCTATTCGAAAATTGACTAAATCGTACGTTGAAATTTGGAAATGAGCATCCTGTAGGGGCGTGTCGTAGAACGAGTTGCTATTGGTGCGACGTCATCGCTAAGTAAACTGGCCGCTTCACATTAGACAACGATGTCGGTCCTATTACTTCTTAAAAACATTTATTATTTTTAGTTTACATACGATACGATAACGATACTGATGTGCTGTTATATTTATTAACTGGTTTCCATTCTATTATGTAGGTATACCTAAATATGCACCTATGTAGCAAAATAATTAAGTCTGTGTAGGTATAATATTTAATTTTTAC